TGTAACTGACGCCGCCAACATTAACAGCACGCTTACATTAGAGCCTCTTATTGCATGTTTTGTTTGGGTGTCCTGCAATCAGAATCAGAGAAACTGAATTAATCCCAGGTGGAAATAGAGTTATCCAACTGAACTGTTTATCCCATTGTACATTTGAAATGAGGTAAAGTACTGCTGTGTTCTTTTAAGTGTTCAGTGTTTTTTGCTTGCCATCAGTCTGACAGTTGCAGGGAAGAAGCTGTTGAAAAGCTGCTGTTGTTCTGTGTGTGATGATGCTGTCCGCTCTGTTGTGTCTGAGCAGAGAGTGAGCTGGATGGTGTGAGTCCCTGATTATTCTCTGCTCTTTTTCAGCAGCATTGTTGTGTACAGAGAGTACATGGAAGGAGGCTTTGTGACCCTTTGCAGAGCCTTCCTCTCTGCCTGTGTGGTGGTCCCGTACCAGACAGTGATGCCTGTGGTGAGGATGCTCTCTACAAGTCCTCTGTAGGCCTGGGTGAGACGGCGATGATTCATGCCAGCTTTCCTGAGATAGAAATAAAGCCTTTGCTGGGCATTTTTCACTGTTGCTGTGGTGTTGAGAGTCCAGCTCAGGTCTGATGTAACCTGCAGGCCCAGGAATCTGTGGCCGTTGGCCCTCTCCACCTCTGTCCCTTTGATGATAAGAGGCTGCAGGGGAGGGGGGGTTCTTCCTGAAATCCAGTATTACTTCCTTAGTCTTGTCCGTGTTGAGGATGAGGTCATTTTCCTCTCCATAGGCAAGAACACTGTCTACCCAGACTCGTTCCCCCCCCCCTTGATGAGCCCCAGGATGGTGGTGTCACCAGCATATTTGATGACGATGGAGTTTTCCTGGGTGGAGACACAGTCATGGGTGTACAGGAGTTTGGGGCTGAGGCAGCGGCCCTGTCGAGATCCAGTGCTGACGGTGAGCTCAGCAGAAACGTGCCCTCCCATTCTCACCACCTGTGGTCTGTCTGTCAAAAAGTCCAGAATCCAGTTGCAAGTGGGAGTTGGGATGCCGAGGTCTGTCAGCTTCTCCATCAGCTTGCCCGGGTGGATGGTGTTGAAAGCTGAGCTCTAGTCCAGCATCTACTGCTCTCCAGGTGTTGCAGAGTAGCTATTGCTGTTGCATCATCTACTGATCGATTGGGGCGGTATGCAAACTGGATGGGGGTCTATGGTGTCCAGGACCCTGTGGTTGATGTGTGTGAGAACCAGTTTTTTTAGACACTTCATAACGACTGGTGTGAGGGCCACTGGCCTGAAGTCGTTCAGGGAGGAGCTGTCAAGTCTTTGGGAACTGGTATAATGATGGAGGATTCAAAAATACATGGGACTACTGCCTGGGATAGTGAGGATAAGCTACTTAACATGGACCTATGGGTCTTTGAAGCTAAAATAAACAACTCAATGAAGCAGTGTTGTGTTTACACAGAACTTATAACACACAACAGCGAAGAACCATTTCAAATAGTATCTTTACTATTTTGTTACTGGCAGTCTGTCACAAAAACTGATATTTTGTTCATATTTCATTGGTTTCCCAGGTTAGTTTCCCTCTCAGACTTTTTTATATTTAGTTGAATCTATGTAAAAAATAAATGAAAGATTTAAAAAAAAGTCTGAAAGGCATAAAATAACATTTTGCACCAACAAAAATGCTCAAGAATGGTTTTGTGGTAAATGGATTGATTCCTATAGAGTGCTTTTCTAATCTACCTGAGCACTCAAAACACGTTATACATTTTATCTGAGTGCTTTCTATCTAACATTCCTGCTCCAATGGATGCATCAGAGAGCAACTTGGAGTTAGTCTCTTGCCCAAGGATACTTGACATACAGACTGGAGCACCGATTAGTAGATGACCTGCTCTACCTCCTTGGCAACAACCCCATTTTTCAGCATGATAATGATCCCAAACACTTTGCCAGTGCAGTCAAAGCATACCTGGATAGAAAAACAAACACTGGAACAGTATCAGTCATGGATTGTTCTCTCCAAAGCCCAGACCTAAACATTACTAAAGCAGTGTGGGAAAATCTGGACAGAGAATGGAACAAAAGGCAGCCAACATCCAAAGAAGAGCATTGAATGTCCTTCAGGAACCCTGCAGAACTATTTCTGAAGACTACTTAAATAAATTGCAACAGAGTTCTAAGAGAGTTCAGGCTGCATTGAAGAATGGATGTAGCCATACAAAAAATCTAATTTAGTATTTCCATTCATGCTTGCATGTTTCAGTAAAGTGCTGCACCTCATTCCCATTCTCCTCGAAAAATATTAAGAAATGAAGGGCATGGAAGAATGGAAGAAAAGCTTGCTCCGTGCACTGCTGAAACAATCTGCAGAGGTTTCCATCGTGGGCTTATCTCTCTGTGAGGAAAAGCTATAAATGTGCCTGAAAAAGCCTGAAACACTTGAAACCCATCACTCACAAACGTCATCTGACTGACCCTTGGAATTTTTTTAACATGTTATTGCCATGTAATTCAAAATGAGCTAATATCTGTCTCAAAATGCCACTTTTTTTCAGTTAATCATTTTGATCATTTTGTATGTTTTTCTGTATTGTGTTGTGAATAAAATATAAGTTAACAAGATTTGCAAGTCATTGAATTTTTACTTACATTTAACAGTTTCCCAACTTTATTAAAGTTGGGTTTATATACATATAGAACTGTACTCGATCTAAAATATGATGACCATTTGAAATTTACATCCTGGCTGTAGGTCAGTGAGTGCTCCCAAAAAATCCCCCCCCCAAAAAAGTCTTGAAAGTGGAAGTTCTTGATTGTTATTATATTAGTGGTATTATATTCTACTGTGCTATTCAGGAAAGTGAGGCAGAGACAGAGGTCATCCATGGCAAAGACTAAGTAAAGTCTAAGTGGTGCCATGACACCAGTCAGTCAGAAGTGCCAGCTTGATGCCAGATCAATATATATATATATCTGACCTTTTACCAGACCAGAGGCTCATCCTTATGTGTAATAACCTAACTGAAACTACATGTACTATGTTGAATAAATGTTCTAATCAAGAACCTCTACTAAAAGCTTAATAATAGAATATGAAAGTATAACAGACAATTTGAATAACCTAGTAATTCAAATAGCCTCGTCTAACCTGCTCCTCAGAATAACTTTCGGTTTCAGTTCTGCAAAGCCTGCAACTTCCTGTCAACTGCAACTTAGTCTTTCTGAAAGACACACACACTGTTTAAACCTCTGAATACAATATCAATGCTGCAGATTATATTATTAATGCAATGTAATGATGATGATTATTTAACAATAGCAGTAAAATAATTTCCCTGCTCCACATATATATATATATATATATATATATATATATATATATATATATATATATATATATATATATATATATATATATATATATATATATATATAAAGAAATACATGTACATACATTTTTACAGCGTATTGTGTTCTGTGTCCTGATTGGCTGTAGACCATTGTCACTCAGTCTCGTGCCGTGTCTCCTGTACGGTACAGAACTTGTTCAGTTTGTCAAATTTACATAAATCTTTGATCCTAGCAGTGTGACTCTGCTGTACTGTAAGTTTGTAAGTTTTCTCCCCAACAAACACAACAATGTTGACGAAGCGTTTTGCACCGTCAAAGGCAGCTGCGGGTGCCTTTGGTTTAATTCTATAATACTGGACTTATTTTTCTACAAAGGTTTGAACTTTGAGGGTGTTTAAACAAGAGAGAAAAGTGTGAAAATGTTCATGTCTGTCTGAGAAAAGTGTATAAAGTGTGTAAAGAGGAGTCTTGGAGTCTGCTCTCACCCCCATTCTCTGCGGCCTGCTGGAGCGGGGGGGGCTAGGAGGAGTTGGCCGTCCGACTGCGGTCTGGAGTGTGGGGCCTCCCTGCTGCTGCGGAGTCGGGGCGGTCTGCCTCCCCCCACCGCAGGGAAAAGGGTAACACCACCTGGGTCTGGGTGCAGTTCCCCCCTCCAGTTTTACAGCCCCCAGGTCCAGGGAGGGCCTGTTTTGTATGAGCCTGGGCCACATAAAGCATATAAACCAAACCATAATCAGGCCAGATATGGCATGCCATCACATAAATAGTGCCATCATTGCCAGGCCTAGCCAACATCTGGTTGACATGCACCCTGCCATGACGCCAGTCAGTCAGAAGTATCAGCTTGACACCAGATCTGGGCCAGACCTGTCTGCTATGTGGGCAGAGGCTACAGAATGTGAATGACGTTCAGCAGCTTCAAGCAACTATAGTAGAAACTTTACTTCCAGGTGAGTGATTGAAGCGACTGCTAATGAGAGACTCTGTTGATGACCTGCAGTAAATAATTTAGAGGGTTAACTAAACAACCAGAGCCTGAAATGTCCAAGCAACCAGCCACCAGCTCCAAAGAAATGTGAATCGCATAAAAGTCCTCCTGCGATATTTCTGACTTCCACACTCTTCTGGTGTTTTGTGGCACCATTCGTAAGCCAGTTGTGATAACATTTAATAATCTTCTCCCACTAGAAGTTTATTAAAAGAAAAAGTTTTAGGCCTAATTTTAAAGTTAGTGTCTGAAAACTGAAACAGAGATAGGAAATGTTTCTGTAGCAGGGAATTCTGATAGCTGAGGAGTCCCTATCTGTAGGCAACAGGAGGACTCTGGGAAGTGCTCCGTCGGGATAATATGGTGTTAGGATTTCTTTGAGATATTCACATTTTATTAAAATCACTTCAGGAGTTAACATGGAGGCAGTGTTGTAAGCAAATTTCCAGTTGTTTTCTGATACAACTGAACAAGCCAGTTAACTGTTTTTTGCTGCTCTGAATTTATATTCGCTGTGAAGGACCTTTTTGCAAACCTCTAACTCAATCATCATTTCATCTTTTCAGTCTTACAGATGTACTCAAAATAAAAAAAGCTCTTTTCACATTTGGTCGAGATGTGTTTCTTCAAACTGAAATGCTGTGAGTTGTGTCTTTACAAGTTCTGGTTGCCATAGAAACAAGGTTGTTAGAGCCTGGAGATGCACACTTTTAGAAAGTTTGAAAACATAATAAGCGAAGAAGAAGAAAAAGATAACATAAGAAAAGTGAACCAATAACTTTTTTTGAAAAGTCTTCAACAGACAGCCATGTCTTCAAGGCCCAGAAGCCAGAAGCAGTTTTCACAGTAAGTTTTTGTGGAGTGTTTCTACTGTTTTTCTCTGTGAAGCCCGATTCGGTAAATGATGTATGCTAATTACTTTTTACTGTTCTTCAAGGAACACGTGTGGTTTGGGGAAAAAGAAGAAAACCCATGATCAGAGTGTTGTCCTGTGTGAAATACTGAAGGGAGAAAAACAGCTGGCAGGGCTTAAAGCCAAGGATGAGGAAGGCACACAGGTGTGAATTTGTCACTGGCATTTCTGGCAGTTTAAGGTTTATCAGGTAGCCAGTGTTAATGGTCAGTGTTGGGACTAACGCGTTATTAAGTAACGCATTACAGTAACTACGTTATTATTGTGGTAACGAGCACGGTAACTAGTTATTATGCCAAAATCAGGAACGCGTTACTCGTTACTGGGATTTAGATAGGCTCGTTACTCGTTACTTCGTGTGGTGGCTATCGCGGAGCTTCCACAGATTCAGTAACATTAGCAAGTGGTGGAGGCCAGCAGGTGGATGAAGAGAAAGGGGAGGCAAGAGGAGAGACCCGAAGCGGCCGCCCGTCCGAGTGTCAGGTGAACTGAACTTCAGGTAAGAAGTTATGACCTGCAGTCTATCTGGGTCAGATATAAACCAAGTTTAGTTGGAGTTTATTTTTGTTGTGTTGACTTTTTCGTACTGCGTGCTAGCTAGCATGACGGGGTTTCTATAGAGATTGACAGACCACGTGACTTTCGCGCATTGCATGCCGGGAACTCGTGGCAAAACAATCCAAGTACCGCATCAAATGCAAGCATTTGCAGCACCGCAAAACGTTCATTCTCCGGTTCCAATACCTTCTTGTTTTTCTTTGCCCCCAAAAAAGTTATGTACAAAACGAAGGAGAACAATGCCGGTCCGTACAAAGACAGACTCGACGAAAAGTCAAAGAAAAGATACGAGGAAAAAATCAAAGGAGTGAAAGGGTCAGACCCTTACGAGCACACAGAGTGGACAAAATACGTTAGCGTGCTGCCCAACTTTCACCACGCTCAGATTTATAATTATACGGTTCTTGGAGTGAGTGCATACACTCATGAAGTTTAGTAACTTCAGGTCACTGCAACAAGCCCAGGTACAGTTTACCGACGGATGGGTACAGGACCTTGAAATGCACCGTGTAGAACGAAAGACCATCGTACGAACAAAGGTAAGTTTACCAGTCTCACAAATCGTCTTCATAAATACACATTCGTTAACCGTTTATTAATAGGACCTTTGAGCTCAACGGTAATTAATTAGTAGTGGAAATAATTTCTGGTACGCGTTACAGAAATGTAGCAGTGACAATAATACTGTATGCTGTAATCGTACTGGGCAATTAGTGATACAAAACAACTGTTTTATCCTGTGAATAAAAGTATATGTTTTTGTCAATGTACCATAATAACAGAAGCGAAACACAATATTGTGTCAGGACAATTCACTATTTATGCACAATAAATAAAGGAGCATAGCGCGACAATTTCTGTTCAGCGCCAGACTTGCTTGTAACCTATATCACCAATTATGTTATGAAAATGACGTATTAACTACAACAGCAGACTGACCTTTGTGAAATGCTTGGAGCAGACTAACCTGTGAGCTGGAGTGTTCTGGGACGTTATATTTGGTCTTTGAATGGCTGCAATCCAGGCCATCCGTCGCCTCTTTGTTACTTCGGAAACATGGCTCGAACAATTTCTCTTCAACGACGTAATCCGATAACAACCGATCTCTTTACCCGTCGGCTTCCCGTGGCTGTCATGCGACCGGCTATTGCAGTTAATAATACAACAGCTTCTTGACATTTTTGTGTTTCTTTTTATCGCTGTGTGACTGATTTCAATTGAAAGCCTGCGTGCGCTAGTACCTCTTGCCACGAGTTCCCAGAATCCTTTGCGGTTTTACCCCTGAATGACGTCACATTTTCAATCTCTATATAAGCTGGGTGGTGCTTGTTACTGATGTTGAACTTTATTTTGTTCATACAGGTTAATTATTAGAGTTGCCAACGTCCTGTAAAAAACGGAATCGTCTGTATTCAGAGAAAATATTACGCGTTTCTTATTGAGGTGAAAAGGAACAGTTTGTCCTGGACTTCAGCTACAATGGAAAAGACACAAAGCTGGAGTTATTCTGTGTTTACGCTGCAGCTGTCTCCTCTTCTCTCATCCTCTCACCCTCCCTCTCCTGTTTCTACTTCAATCATGAAACTGATCAATGATCAGCTGATCGGCTTTTCCCTCTTGTTTATTAATCGTCTGCTTTGCGCCAGAAAGAGGAAACCACCGGATGTCACGTTAAACAACAGCAGCACGTTTGATCAGCTGTTGTTAGAATTTATTTAATATTACTTTCTAGTATCAGCTGATGTTTGCTGGAGCCACAGCTGTAAAAGCTGGATATGTGGTGGTTTTGTCCCAGTCCAGCCCTGTATGCAGCTCATCTGCAGTCTGGTGTTACCTACATCTTCCTATTCAGAAGGCAGAATTTCTGAGTTCTGAGTACAATCAAAAGCACCATGACTGCAGTTTTTGTGTTGGATGTAAAAAGCGCACATGACGCTGTAACGTAGGCTAGAATCATGGCGGTGGTCAACGACTGTCCAGGCGTGGGATTTCTCTGTGTTCCCCGAGCCATCTTGTTGATTTTCACGTTTTGTTGCTTCCTGTTTTATTTTGTTAATCTGTCTCCATCTTGTTTTCTCCTGGTTAGTTTCAGCTGTTTTCCCCAGTGTTTTCATTTTCCCCGATTACCCCAATGTGTAATTAAACCTCTGTTTGCATTTGTTCGTTGTTGCCTTGTACTGTTTACCCGCCTGTGTGGCCTGGCCCTAGTTCAGCTTCACTTGATATCTCTTCAACACAGATGTTTTGGATACGAAGCAGTTGTTTCTTGAGAGTCTGTTGATAGCTTTATGTCCTCAGTTTTAAGCTCTTTTCAAACACACGGTTTCACCATAAGTACCCTTGAGGCCTACTGTCCTGAAAGTTATCACAAGTATTCCCTTAGTAACGTAAACCTTTTCTACTTTGTGTGCATTTCTGTAGGAGCTAAAAAGTTTGAAGGACCAGACAAAGGAGCTGCAGGATGACATTAATAAAATACAGGAGCGCTTTCATGAAGCCTTTGTTGAGGTACTGTAGAAGACCATTTCACACAAGCTGAATTTCAGTTTTATGGTTGGAACGAAACTCAAATTGGACCTGAAACTGTGTAGGATGAAGATGCTGATGATGCTCTGGAGGAAGCGAAGGCAGACAGCAAAGAGTTCATTCAAAAGGAGGCAGAGTTAGAGAGATTAAAGAAAGAGTATGCTGAACTGATGGAGAGGAGAGAGGAGCTACAGCATCAAGTTCAGAGGCACTCAATGTACAAGCACTTCATGGAGCGTGTGCTTAAAATAACAAAGGTACAGTATTTTTATTTCATGCTAACAGTAATCAGTTCATTTAAATAATGTCTTTATTGTCAGTGCACATGCATATTGTGTGTGTGTGTGTGTGTGTGTGTGTGTGTGTGTGTGTGTGTGTGTGTGTGTGTGT